AGACTGACTATGTCTCCAGTCTCTGAGTTGATGTTCACCATTGTAGACACGGGGACTGAGTTACTATTACTGTCTAAAAATGAATATCTAACTTTACCATTCTTTTCAATGTCAGCATCCGATGCAGATATCGTTTTAATAACTACCCCGAATTCACTGTTTTCTGTCACGTAAACATTTACCACATGTTCTGAGAAACGAGGTGAGTTATCATTTATATCAGAAATATGAACGGTAATAACACTGGTGTTTGAGAGAGGAGGAGTCCCTTCATCGATAGCCGAAATTGTGACGTTGTAGCTTGAGATAATTTCTCTGTCAAGAGCCCCGTCAACAACTAGCGAATAATAGTTTTTGTAGTTTGTCTCTAGTTTAAAGGGTACCTTGTTGAATATTTTACATTTAACTTCACCATTTCGACCGCCATCACTGTCTAGAACGGAAACGAGTGCAATAGCAGTACCTACATCAGCGTCCTCCTTTACGGTATCGAACAGTGACGTCACAGTGATCTCGGGAGCATTGTCATTTACATCAATTACTTCTACCAGCACTTTACAGTGCGCAGACATCGGTGGCTGAGCCTTATCGTTTGCTTCGGCACGGATTTCGAAAGCTGTATATTCCTCATAATCGACATCAGCTTTGACTATTATCGCACCCGTTATGGGATCAATATGAAAAATCTCTAATATACGATCCTGCCCTTTACTTCTTAATGAATAGACTATCTCACCGTTTGTTCCCTCGTCTGCGTCGGTTGCGTTCAGTGTTATCACAGTTGTCCCGATTGGCGTGTTTTCAAATATACGAGTTTTGTACAAGGGATTGCTAAACACTGGGGGATTATCATTGATGTCTAAAACGTGGATAATGACCTGTGACGTGCCAGATCTCGGCGGAGTCCCTCCATCTATAGCAGTCACAGTGAGATGTATCACAGGCTGTTTCTCTCGATCCAGTGTTTTCTGTAAAACTAACTCTGCATACATGCTTTCTCCTTCTTTGATTGTAGCGAGAGAAAAATATTCATTGGGTGTTAATTTAAACGCATTGACCGTGTTCTTACCTACATCTGCATCGATGGCCTCCGACAAAGCGAATTTCATTCCAGGCAAAGTGTTCTCTGCTATTTCTATAGTTTGAGACTTTTCCGTGAATGACGGGTCGTTGTCGTTCACATCTAGTATATTTATTTCTAAGCGATACAGCTTCAAGGGACTGTTTATCACCGCTTCTACACTGACTGTGCATTTAGGTGCCTTTGCACAGAGCTCCTCTCGATCTATTCTCTCATTAACGTCGAGAAAACCAGTCTTTACATTTACCTCGAAATATTTTCTTTTTGATCCAGTGACAATCTGAAACATACGGGACTCCAAATCCTGAAGGCTGAGGTTTAGATCCTTAGCGATATTTCCGACAGATGTCCCCGGATTCAATTCCTCGAACACTGAATACGAAAGCTGTCCAGACTCCGCTTCCCAGCAACACCCCAGCAGCACAAGCACCAGCCATGAAACAATAGACGTCCTCATTGGTGCAGACATAATTCCATATGGCGATTCAAACGCATCCAAAGCAAGGAAACCCCTTAACAAATGTTACAACTATTAAAAAATACAGCTTCTATATTGTGCTATATATTGTAGGCTACTCATGGACGAAACCGATCTCCCCTCTGTCCTTTCGCTCTCTCTTTGTGACAAAGCCTGGAGAAGCCACATCGACACCTAAAACTGGGAGGAGAAAGTAGCACTACGTATGAACTCTCAATGTTACGGTCTACAGTGTCACCACGTGGAGGTCTGCCACAATTACATTAATAGCATTTGTCACTTTTTTATATTTCGAAACCAAACAATGTTTTCAATCTCCAAAGAAACTACCAGTAAGCCACACACTTTTACAGCTAACACTTCACACACTATGGGAGGATAAAACTATATTTTTTTGTGGATTTGAGAAGTAATGAATAATACGAGAAAAAAACAACAACCTTTGATTAAATTGCTTGCATTTCTTCTTACCTTGTCATTGTTGGGTAAAGTCTGAGTTCTGGTAAAAGTG